CCCCCCCCCTCTCTCTCTGTGTGTGTGTGTGTGTGTGTATTGGAAATGGAGTTAGGTAGTTGTGAGCCTCCCAACCAGGATGCTGGGAACTGAACCCAAGTCCTCTGTAAGAGCAGCAAGTATTCTTAACAGCTGAGACATCTCTTGAGTAACCCATATAGTACATTTTAACTGCTTTTCTTATGGGGGTATCCAGCTTTCCAAATGGGACTCACCTTTTACAGGCTGTGCAGCCTCCTGACATATCACGTTTCACAGGGACTAGGGGAGGCAGCAAAGTACCCAGTGTCCATGGGGCTGTGCAAGCACAACATGACACAGCAGGGCCTTTGGCTTCTGTAGCAAATAGAAGCGGCTCCTAGCCTATGCCAGGCTGCTCCTGTTCTCAGCTGGACCACTGTCTTAGCTGGGTCCTCCTCCCACCTGGCAAGAAGCTGCTGTGGAGCTGGTATGAGGAATTTCCTGACATGGAGGTCTGGAGGAGCCACACTGCTCGGTAAGGGTGGGGACAATCACCAATGGGGATCTCACGGAGCCCTCTCTAGACTGCCTGTGACACTTTCCCACTCATGCTATGGCCTGTTGTGATGGTTCCCCGTGGTTTTGGAGGCAGTCAAGTGCACAAACCTGTAGCTCCCAGCTGTCCATTGCCTCTGTTCATTTCTGTTGACATCTGCTCTCACCCTTTGCAAGGTTCTCTGGCCGGCTGCCATCAGTCTTCCTGTCTGGAGCTCTTTTGATGTCACAGATGTGACTTTACTGTCTGCTGTGTGTCCTGTGTTCTCTGCTGGGTGCCTCCCTGCTTCTTACAATGACCTGTCATGGAATTGTACATATTCCTGGGTTGCAGACAGGGAGACCCAGGCCTGCAAGAGAGGACACAGAGCCCAAAGCTGTACCGTGGAGCCAGTTTTCTTTGTCACAGAGCTCATAGTGAATGTTCCTTCCCAGTGTACTCATGGGATGACCTGTTCTCAAGAGTCCTCCCTACCTGAACACCTGGTTTTTGAAGTATTAGCTAGGCCTAGTGTTCTCAGGCTGAGACACTACATCTGTCTCTTCTTATGCTCAATCAAACACTTTAGCCTGAGGCCAGGATGAGAAATCAACTTTTCTCCCAAGACAGACAGGTCAGGAGGGGTGATGCTGGTTTCTTAGACCTGTGACCACAGATTACATTCCACCATACACCAATATTCCTGGCTCATTAGCAAGGGCCCCTGGCCCAGCATGTATAGTCACAGTTTAGTCCTGAAGGCCCTTGGTTTTCATTGCAAGGGAGATAAAGATATCCACAATGTAAATGGCAGGGACAGTAGCTGACCAGAGCAAGACAGAAGGTTCAGAAGTAAAGGCAACTGAGTTGAAGAAAGTGCAGCAGTCCAGGGTCATCAAATGTCAGCTGACAGCACAAGGACCTTCAGTTCTGGCTGGCAGCATGAGAAGAGCCAAAGACCATGGCCGGGTGGCGGAGTGGTGTCATGCATAATGGTAGATCTGAGAACACTTGGTATCTAAAGACATGAACACAGGTGAGGGAAACGACTGTTCTTTGGTACTGCCCTAATGCCTTAATGAGGAAAGAAGACCTCCTCAAATTAGGGCTGGCTATCTTTCTGCCACTGGCTTAGTGGTCAACATCATTGGGGTTGACCAGGGTCACGGTGACCTCAGAGAGAATACGGCCTTTTATGTACAGGCCCATTCCTGGGGCCCTGCATATGGTGGGAATTGCAAACAACATTGACAGAGAGTCCATAGAGAAGGAAGGCCCTGTCCTGCCAACATGGAAAGAGCTTCAAAGGTCTGCTGGTTGAGAAAGAGAACTCAGCTTTTGGGCACCCCCAAGGAGGCCAAAGGACAGGGGTGTCATCTGCCCTGAATGTGTTCTGTGGTTTGACTGCTGGTTGGGGTTTCAAAGTCCTGGGCTTCTGGCCATAGCACGCTCTTTAACAAGTCACTCTATGGCAGGTTTATGATAGAGATCAGAGAGAATCATGTAGAAAAAGCCGATGCTCTTGTAATCCAGGAGATGCTGCCTCTGCTCTGGGTCCTTGTCCCTTCCCTCGGGGGTCTGACTCCGCTCTCCCCATAGGCACTGCCGGACTCTGGAATCCACATCTTTGCCTCTCAGCTCCACACACACTTGACTGGCAGGAAGGTGGTTACCGTGCTCGCCAGGGATGGCCAAGAGAGGAAGGTGGTGAACAGAGACAACCACTACAGCCCCCACTTCCAGGTGAGAACCTGCCTGTCACCAGCCTCCCAGGCCTTCTGATTCCCAGGGCTGGCTGACTTTGGTGGTGGACCCTGACCCAGGCTGCTGGGTGTCAACAGTGTCTTGGTGACAGCTTGACTGATCTTGTCTTCCCCTGATTGACACCCACACTCAGTCAGCCCTGATGTTCCCCAGAGAGACTGAGGCAGACCTGACAACCCAGAGAGACTTTGGTGGGGAAGCACAAGGTGGCTGGATCAGGGACCACAGCTCTTTTTCAATCCTCTCTTTCCAATTCCAGGAGATCAGAATGCTGAAGAAGGTTGTGACAGTCCACCGGGTGAGTGCCCGTCAGGGACAGATGACTGGGGCAGAACATATTTTGAAAGCACTGTGCCCAAAAGAGATAGAAAGCAGAGGGGCAGGAGAGAGTCCACAGGGCAAGCACAGCAGGGCTGGGTAAGGTAATGTGGACTTCATGGCACAGTGGGGACATTGTCTTGTATCTTCAACTTAACCACAACCCCAAAGACTGGAACACTGACAACACTGGGAAGAGATGGGGGTGCCAAGATGCAGTCTTTGCCCATGCAGAACTGGGGATCTGACATGGCCAGCCAGGCCATGAAGCTACTGATGGATATAAGCCCCAGGGATGCTTACATTCCAAAACTCATTGGGTAGGGTGCAGGGCTCCTCTTGGGAGATCACACATCATAGTGGCTTAGTCACCACGAGTATGAGCTGAGCACTCCTGTTGGCTCCGGGTGGGCAGGTGCTGATGTGTCTGCTGCCTCTCTCTCCAGGGGGACGTTCTCATCACTTCATGCACATATAACACAGAAAACAGGACACTGGCCACAGTGGTAAGTCACACTAGCTTTTCCAGTCACCCACACAGAAAAGAGAACAGCCTAGAGTCTGCTTAAAGATTTCCAACCATTCCCAGGGTTGAGTGTAGGCTGCCAGAGGCAGGACTGCCCCTTCTGCATTCCTTAATGTATCAGAACACCCGGTGTGCTTCTCTAGAGACCCTTCCCCCCCAGTCCCTTAGTTCCAGCTATCCAGGCAGCATGCTGGGCTCTGCACTCCCCACACTGAGTCCAATATGGAGTTAACACTGTCAACACAGCTTCAAGACCTCATCTAAGAACCACTAGGGTGGGTTCTCATTAGTACTCATGTGCTCGGTGTCTCTGGCACGGGAGGGAGTCAGGACGTACTTTGGAATTCAAAAGTCCACCTGGACTGTAGATATCTGCTACAGGAGATAAGCAAAATGACAGGGTCACAGAAACTTCAGCAGACATCTCCCAGAGGTGACAGGAAGGTTGTGAGAGTATGGGAGAGATGGAAAAGAGCGTTGGCTGGAGGCATGAGCCAGGAGCCTTGGAGGACAAAGGTTGTTCTTAGGATGTTCAGCTGTAGGGGAGTGTGAAGATGTGGATAGCACCAGGCAGGTGGATGTGGTCAGCCACTCCAGAGAAGAGACATGGACCTTGTTTTGGGCTGGACTGTGGATAGTTCAAAGAGAAGGAGTATCTCGTGGAAGGACTATTTTTCAAGGTGAGGTATGCAGGAAATGTGTCATCTGGCTGGAGTACATTGGGCAGGGAGAGGGATGTTTTCCATGGTTTCCTGGGTCCCCACTATTCTCAGTCATTAATTCCACTGACCTTCTAATTGATCCTTGTGCACCCAATAATTAACACATCAACTGTGAGGTTCAGAGTGAACCACACCTCAGCTACATCCCACCCTGGCACCCCTGAACCCTAGGAACTCCTACCAATACCGTAGCACTGTCTCTGCACAGTGTTCCTTCCATGCCTTCAGCCACAGTCCAGGGTACCCCACTCTGTTTCACATGTGTTCTTTAAATAGCCTTATTGAGAGATGATTCACATACCACACAGCTGAAGTGTGTGAAGTGTGCAGCCCATTGCCTGGAAGCATGTTCACAAATCCATGCACACAGTCAAGCCACAGCTATCCCCCCAGGTCCCCTCACCCAGCCCAACACAGATCCACTTGCTCTGGATGTTTCTACTCTGGACACTTCTCATCACTGGATTTGCATGCTATGCAGCCTGCTGTGGCTGGATTCTCTCCCATACATTTAATCCATTTTAGTCTTGTGCCAGTCTCTAAGGCAAGCGTTTTCCCAGACACTTTCACAGGCATCGTCTCCTTTCTGCAGGTGCTTCTGCTATGGGTGGGAGCAGGGAGGCACCTGCCAGTCATTGGTGGAAGAGAGCCCTCAGGCCTGCTCAGCTAAAGGTGCTTCTGCCAGGGCTGTGTTCCTGCCTTGCCAGATTCATGGCCAATAAATGGTGCTTTACTTGTCTTGGGATGTTCATGGTCACTGGCCTAGCAAGCAAGATCTTCAAGTCCATGTCTCAAGGACAAGATACCTCCTTGGCTTTTTAGGGATCATGATTTCTTGGGGGAGGCAGGGGCTCCATTTGAGATCAAAGGAAATGGGAGCTTCCAGAAGGCAGACCTGAGCTTCCTCCCTCTGTCAACCTCTGGATCCAAAGAGTGGCCTTTGAAATGCAGCTCCCTTCCCAAAATGAGGAAGAATAGGGAAGGAGAATCTACTCTGGCATCCAGGCTGTGTTCTCATTCTTGATCTCTGAGGTGACAGAGCTGTTGTCGGGGAGGGGAGTCCCATGCTCACTGAGAGCTATGAAAGCTGAAAAATAAGGGTTTGGGACAAGCAGCCACTGCAGAAAGATCCACCTAGCACACAGGGAGCAGGCTAACTTCTTATGATGAATTTCTCTCTCCCACACCTCCACAGAGACACCCCAGGCCCCGACCACTCAAGCAGAGGTCAGCTGAGCTTCACATCATCCATGTGGTCTGTCATGAATTAGTGAAGACCTTTCTCCCTTTACCAGTTCTAACCAGTCAAATAAAATCTTCCTCCTAACATCATGTTCACAAAGAGCCAGGATCCTGAAGAAAGGCTGAGACAGCCTTGGGTTGGGCTCCCTGCCTGATTCCTGACCCTGATGCAGACGGAGCTTTCTCTCCACCCCCACTCAGGATTAGTTCACTAGCTCTGAGAGCAGGAAGTAAGCAGTAGAAATGTCACCTGCTCTGTCCCTCCCATATTGTGGATAGATGGTCTGGGTTCCCAAGACTGTTCCGAGTACTAGCATCTCTGCAGTACCATTGTGACTGGTGGCCAGTGAGGTCTGCAGTGTGTAGGGAGGTCAGTTCCCACGGGGACCATAGGGACTTGTCCCCTGCTCCCTGCGACTCAGTTGTTGTAACCTATACATAAGACAAGAACAGCAAGGCCCTGTCTCCTCGTTTCTGCTTTAAACAACAACAAGAAAAAAACCCAAAAAAACCAGTATCTGATGCTTATTCACTGGGTCTCTCTCTGTCCTTCAAGCCACCAACAGCCCCCATGAGTTGGGGAACCTCCCTCCTGGCTTTATCCTAGAGGTAGGAGGGTGTTGGATGCCACCCTGCTGCAAGAAGGGAAACAAGTAGTAACAAGAAAGCCACAGACAGGTGCTGAGGGCGATGTGCTGAGGGCTGACGGGGTCTTCTCTCTCCTGCAGGGGGGGTTTGGAATCATGGAGGAGATGTGTGTCAACTATGTGCACTACTACCCCCAGACGAAGCTGGAGCTCTGCAAGAGCACTGTGGATGACGGCTTCCTACAGAAATACTTCCACATAGTAAACAGGTGAAGCACTTCTTGCTTTCTGCTCCTGGGGAGCCCAGCGTGGACAGTCTCTGTACCCCGCATCCTGCACCATGCTCCCTACCCCACATCCTACCCTATTAAGAGGCTAGGTGGCCAGATGCAGAATTTAAGCTAAGTTCTTGGAGCAAAGTTACCATGCATACCATCAGACCTTCTGTGTCTTTAGAGGTGCCTGTGGCAGGTATCACTAATCAATCTCTTGACTTACAAGCTACTGCCAGAGCAGCCATTTTTAACAAGCAAGGGTGATATAAAAGATGGAAGCAGGGCCAAGACAGCTTAGGCAGAGACTAAGAGAGCCATGTCTGAAGAAGAGAAGAAGGGCCACTGCTGGGAGCCTTGCTGGGTCCCCATTCCTCAGCTATATCTGTAAATTGAGTTATTCTTTTTCCTTCCAGGTTCGGCAATGAGGAGGTCTGTACCTGCCCTCAGGCCTCTGTCCCCCAGCAGTTCGCCTCTATGCCCTGGAACTCTTTCAATCGCGATATGCTCAAGGCTCTGTATAACTATGCCCCTATCTCCATGCATTGCAACAAGACCTCTGCCGTCCGCTTCCCGGTATGACTGCCTGAGATTGAGTGGTGGGTCGCAACAGACATTCAACACTAGCTCACCCCCATCCACTACCAACAAACCCCAGTGCTGCCTGATGCTCCAATCCCAGGTCTGTCCAAATCTTGAGAAAGACCCCAGGTAGGTTGAGGAAGGGCATCCTGAACTTCCCAATAAGCAATGCTCACATGAGACTGAGAAAATGACCACATTAGTGATAGAGACAGTTGTATAGACAGATGGTAAGGGAACAGGCCAGCAATACTGCCAGGAAGGCAAAGGAGGCCACTTCTTCTGGGCACAGTACAGCAGAGGACTAACCTCAGACCCCTAGATGGTGTGTGACTGAGTGTCAGCTCCTTCCTCAGGAAATAAAAATAGAGCTGTGGACAGCAGAGGCAAGAAACCAGCAGTCTGTGACAAGAGTCCACAGCACAGCTTCGCCCTCCTTATCTGAGGCCTGCTGGGAGTCAAAGGCACCTAATTTATTTCCCAGCAGAGCTAGCCAGCAGCAGCAGTGCCAGCCCAGAGTGCTGGTCAGCAGAGCCAGCCTGCTCTGTTAGGCAGGGGAGGCAGGCACTGCAGTAGGAGGTGAACAGACCTTTTCTGGCAGCATTTGGGTCCTGGATTAATTGCTAACCCAAACACCCACGCCATGGGGAGGCTTGCTCACCCCAGAGCAGTTTGGGGTGCTGCTGGATATGGCCAGATCTTGGCTTTTGCAGAAGCCTTGTTGGACAGTGGCTAAAGCCACAACCTGCCTCCAAAGACTCTGATCCTCTCCTTGGAGTATACAATTGAGTGCAGGCATGGAGGAGAAGCCCAGAGGGCGTCGGGTTACTGACCAGAGAACAGAACAGTTTAAGGAAGGGACATGGATCCTCTGGTGGTAACCCTCAAAGGCTGACTTGGAAGAGGTGGGGAATGTTCAGCACGGGATTAAGGACAAGAATCCAACCACCTAGGGAACTAGCACCTTGCTTGGCCCCTCTAGCCTCATTTTACCTCCTGCTTCCTTTCTTACAGGGTGAGTGGAATCTGCAGCCTTTTCCTAAGATCACCTCCACACTTGAAGAACCCACCCCACACTGCCGCATTCGACAGACTCAGAGCCCCGCTAGCCCCACTGTAGTCATCACAACGGAGGCAGGTGCTGAGTAGGCCCATCTTGTGAGAAGCTGTTCTTCAGCCCCTGCTCATTTTGTCCCTATGGGCTCATACCAGCTCTGTGCACCCCTGTGTGAAGACTCCCTTCCATAGAATAGTTCACCTCGGAGGAAGGAGCATATCACCTCGGAGATACCCGCATGGCTACGTCCCATGAGGTCCAACTGGACAGAGCAGCCCTGGACATTATTTATACACTGCTGACTCCATGTAGGGACAACTCACTGTGGGAGTTCAGATTCAATATCACAAGACCTACCTTGCCTCCAGAGCAGCCTTGCCAGGCTAGGTGCAAACTCTCCAAGCCCCAGAGTCCCAACCCTGTTGGTCCTCCAGTGGTGACTTGTGTTGGTGTATGTCATGACAACACTGCTTAAATATTCCTTTGCAGAATGGCTCATGTTTCCCAGTGGGCGGCTTCCCTGCAACAAGACAGGACACGGCATTTAGCTAGTCAGAGACTCACCAGGGGAACTCGCTTCATGGCAGAGTAAATAGATATTTTCGCCCACCTAGAGGGAAACCCCAACAAGTAGTTCTGTCATGGAGAGTCAAGATGGCTAGAGCCAGGCTCTGTAAGAGAATGGGATGATCAGAGCCGGTTGCTTCTCCTGTTGGTGACAGGCCAGGCTCTCAAATATAGGTAGGTAGTGAAGAGCTGGCTTGGCTCCTTAATGAAGGGATGACTAGGGCAAGTCACTCAGTTGCCTGATCTTCAGTCTCCTTGTCTGTTAAATGAGACTCACCCTTACCTAGCACTAACTGTCTGCACATACGCATGGCCAATACTCCTGCCCTGTGCGGAGCCCTTCTGTGCTCTATGGCATCACACATGTTATCCAATGTGAGTGAGGCATGCATCTATAATTCTAGTCACCTCTACCCTCCCTGACTTCTCTCCCTCAGTCTCCTGCCAAAGGGCCAGCTCAGCTCTTTGATGGCTTTGGAAGGGAGTAGGAAACTGGGCCTTTTCAGCTATTTCAGCAAAATGCAACCCAGGCTTCTTCAGGCAGGGAGGGTGATGGATGAGCATCGGGTTTCCTGCACTCCCACCCCCACCGCAGACATCAGTTAAGGACTGTCTCCCCTTCGGCACAGCTCTTTATTACTAAGGAACGAAAGTGCTCGGACTCTCTGTGCCTTGTGGTATGAATCATGGCTCCAGACGCCCATAAGTCATGGGTGTAATCGGTGTGAAATGCCAGGCCTGACGGTCCAAAGCAATGTTCAGCCCTCCGTCATCTGTACAGCCTCAGAGATGGGCAAGGCAGGCCATCTCTATAGCTGTGTCTTCCCTCTATGACCACCTGCCTGAATAGTCTAGAGCCAGGAAGTACAAAAAAAGGCTCACAGAGCTCGGAGGAGCCTGACCTTCAACACACTTACTCTACTCCTAGTAGTGTTCCAATTTATAGACAGGAAAATTGAGGCTCACAGGTTAGCACTTTGCCCAAGGACCACTTAAGGACCCGCCTGCTGTCCATGTGACATATCCAGACTACAGTCTCCTGCTTCCCCTCTAGGCTGGTATGCTGTCTCCCCTGGGAGGCCATCTGCACCCTGCCCTATGTCTACCACAACAGGCCTTGCTGGGATGACTAGGGTGTTGACTGCCAGTTGAGGCACATGAGGTCCCCACCAACTGCCTAAACCTTTAAGGACTTGCTATGTCTCTTCCCTAGAAGAGGAAACTGAGGCTCAGAGACCTGAGGTTAGATGACAAGGTCCCCATAGTGAGCTGTGGAGCCCAGGTCTGTCTGATAGAAGCATCTAGGCTACCAGCTCCATATCCTTATCTTTCAAGCGGGGATCAAGAGTGAGCTTACAAGAACTGAACATGAGGGCATAGGGTAAGGCTATCTAGGAGATCACATTCCTCCTAGATGCTCTAGGCCAAAGCAAGTCTCCAGATCTACCCCTCTTCTTCACTGAGGTAGAAGAAAGGGCCTGAGTGTGAGCCATTCCCACAGCTGCTGGGTGTATTGCTTTCCCTTGCTGGGGTTGGGTATCCCATGAGCAGAGGGATCTCTAGACTCCCTGAAGCCAGGGAGTCCTAAAGTTTGGGGTGTATGCCTCTATATCAGTGCTGAGAGGGCCATGGATAAAAATAGGGTGTCCCCAGGCCATAAATAAAGTTTATATGAGCTGTCCCTGAACTGCTCCAGAGCAGTTCTGTCTGGTAGTCCTAAGTCTCAGTGGCTATTTAATTTTTATTTAGATTGGTTTAAAAATGATAAGCACCATGGTGAGTGATGTGGCTCAGTTGGTAGAACACTTTAGCCTAACATGCACAAAACCCTGCCTTCTATCTCCAGAATCACATAAAAATGGGGACAGGTACATGATCACACCCATCATCCCAGCACCTGGGAGGTAGATTACAGGAGGATCAGAAATTCAAGGTCATCCTTGGCTGTACAACAGAGCTTAAGGCCCACTTGGTCTACACGATATTCTGTCCCAAAACTGAGACAAAGGTTGGCTAAGGATACAGCTCTGTTGATAAAACTGTTATCACACATGCATGAGGACGTGAGTTCAATCCCCAGAACCCTCATGAAAGTGCATGTTTATAGTTCTAGCACTGAGGTGGGGGGAGATGAGGATCCCTGAGACTTGCTAGATTATTAGCCTAGCTTAACCAGCAAACCTCGGGTTCCAATGAGAAGCCTTATCTTGTAAACAAGGTAGACAACCAAAGAACAAAACCCAAGGTTGACCTCCGGCCTCCATAAACATGTATGTACACACACATGTGTGCATATACATAAATGCACACACACACACACACACACACACACACACACACACTGAGATATTTACAGTTCCCTTTCTGGTGTCATTCCCTCAAGTCAGGCAGAACATGACTCATGCCTGCAACAGTATATGGGCATCCACATAGCATCCCATCATTGTGGGAAACTGCTTGGTGGCTAGGGACACCTACCACCTGTGACGCAGAACTGGTGGCACCCCTCAAACTGCAGTGACCTCCTAAGATGCTGCAATGAGCTTGCACATAAGTTCCTGGGCTTGCCAAGGTGTCTAAAGATTCTCAGTAGGCTGCCACTGAAGCCTACTTAGCAGTGAGAACCTCAGATGCTGGCCACCGATGCAAAGTGCCTGCAGGTAGATGTACCATCAGGTCTTCAGTGGAAGAAGCTGGGATCTCAGTGCCCAGGCATCCCAAGCTTGGCATTTAGATACTTAGCATATTTACCCAAGGGCTGCTTTCTTGAAGACAGAGGAGAGTGAGGAAGATCGTGGAAGGCAGAAGGGGCCACATGCTGGGGTGTGTTCAGAGCTATTTAACCCAGACAGAATCCACAACTGGCCAGGAGTGGCTGGGCCAGCAGGAAGTCAGGGAGCACACTGGCCATTTTGCATCCTGACAGGATGGTCACCTGATGAATGAGTGTAATATCTTGACTGAGCCATCTTCTGATGCCCTTCCCAAATGCCCACCTTTGTCTCATCACAGCCCAAGCCTGGTTCCCTCTGCCCACTCTAAAGGTCTCAGCTCTGCCTGTGGGCTTTGTCTAGCTCACTTCCCATAGATGTAGAACCACTTGACTGCCTGCTCTCCCCTACCATTAAGAGTCACAGATGGGACTCAGGGCTGTCCTTAGCAATCCTTCTGACCCCTAGGTCCCCAATGGGGTAGAAGTAAGATGAACACACAGGTTCAAGCAGGCTGCATGGAGCTCCAGGGTTGGTCCTCCAGGCAGAGTCCCTGAGCTCAGGCAGGGCAAGACAGCCCTATCTACCAGTTTCCCTCTGCAGGCTGGGGGGTTAGGATACCACCTAGAGCATGTAGCATGCTGGTTAGGACTACCTCAGGGGCATGACACATGAGTGGCTTGTGGTCCACCACCTGTCTGTGTCTCCCTCCTCTCCAAATGTTTCTGCTGTCTTCCATGCAGGCTAAAGGAACATGGCCTTGTGCCAGCCCCATGCATAGGAAACCTCCGGGATATGTGGGATGGAAGAAACTGGAAGTGACCTAGACATTTTGCTATCCAGGCCTCAGTCTTTATCAGAGAAATAGGCATCTCACCCTGCCAGAGGACCCTCCCCATCTCTACTGGAAAGCATCTGGTGTAGTTTGCTGGCCTTGTCCTGCTGCAAGCATTCTCTCTTATATTTTTGGTTGTGAGCCTAGCCTCTGATGGCTGAGCCATATTTCCAGCCCAAGCATTCTCTATGTTTGTGCATTTTATACATGGGTGTGCAAGCACATGTGTACCCATGGATGCAGAGACCAGAAGTTGATGTCATCTGTCTTCTTCTGACACCTTCTTCCTTAGTGTTTGAGATAGGGTCTCTCATTGTCTTAGTCCGGTTTTATTGCTATAACAAAACATCATGACCAAAAAGCAAGTTGGGAAGGAAGGTGTTTACTTGGCTTACACTTTCATATCACCATATCATAATTGGAGGAAGTCAGGACAGGAACTCAAGCAGAGAAGAAACCTGGAGCTGGAGCTGATGCAGAGGCTATAGAAGGGTGCTGCTTACTGGCTGGCTTCACATGGCTTGCTCAGTCTGCTTTCTAATAGAACCCTGGATGCCAGCCCAGGGATGGCACTACCCACAATGGCCTGGGCCCTTCCACATTGAGCACTAATTGAGCAAATAGATCTCATGGAGGCATTTCTTCGACTGAGGCTCCTTCCTGTCTGATGACTCTAGCTTGTGTCAAGTTGACACACAAAACCAGCCAATGCACTCATTAAACCTGGATCTCACTGACTGGCTAAGCTGAGTGGCCCACAGACTCTGGGGATCTGCCTGTTTCCAAGTCCTTCCCGAAGCCCATTGCTAGAGTTATAGAAATGTACCATCAAACCTGAGCTTTACTTGGGTCCTGGGGATCCAAACTCAGAGCCTCAAGCTTATATGCCAAATGGGTCATCTCTCCAGCCCTGAAGAAAACATTTCTGCGCAGTGTAACGGAGACCAGGCCAGGGGCAGCAGGCTCGTGTGTGTGCACGGAGAAAGAGGCCTGTCCCCTCCTCTGCAGTGACAGCTCTGCCTAGGAATTCTGAAGTCCAACATTGTTGTATCTCACGAGGCATCTGAGGGCTCGTGTCCTCTCCCTCTGCTGCCAGCCACACACTGCTCTGCATATTTCAGGCTCTTTCCTATCAGCCTCTCAGTGATTTCTGATAGGCAGTGCCCAGCCATAGTGGGGGCCATGCTGTTTGATTTTCCAAGGGAATTTTTTTTAATATAGCTATGAAATGTGACTCTAGATTATCAGTGCTGGAAGTCGGGCTTAAGATCTCTGATGTAAGCAGGCTGGGATGCCCTAGTCATCGGCACTTTGGGGACTTTCCAGATGAACAGGTGATCTTGGGAAGGGATTCTTGATAGCTGCTCTCAGTCAGGGGCCCAACATCCTTCCAAAGACTGCATGGGGGAGGCAGGCAGGCAAGTGAAGTCTGGGAGAAGTGAGTTAGCTAGGAAAGCACTCAGACTGCCCTTGCCCTGAGCTATCCCCAAGGACAGGTTGCAAGCTATATGTGGTCATCCTCTAAACTCAGGGGTCTTGGCCAGACTACAGAATAGGGAGGAGCGGCTCGGCAATGGGGCAGCCACCTTCCCTCCCCTTCCCTTCCCTCTCCTCCCTTTCCCTCCCTACTCCACTTACTTCTTGCCCACTCTCCCTCTTCCTTCCTCCTTCCTTCCCTCCCTCCCTCTTCCTTCCTCCTTCCTTCCCTCCCTCCTCTTCCTTCCTCCCTCCTCTGGCCCCACAAAACTCATGTCATCCAAGAGCCAGACCCATGATCCTGAGAGACCACAGGTGTTCCTCCAGCCATCCAGAGGCTCCCCCACACTGTCCCACCTCCAGCCCTTCCCCAGGCTCAGGGGCCCGGAGATGCTTTTGAAAGGCCAGCTATACCCCACACATCTTCCAGTGGTTTCACAAAATTTTATTAACTTGACCTTTTCCAGCTGAGCATGTGGTGTGTAAATCCATGAAGATTCAGAGCCCACCCAAGACAACTGTGCCCACATCTCCCCTCTGTCGCCTTCTTTGGGTTTAAGACGCCTCAGCTCCATCCCACTATGGCATCTGCCTCCTGCTCTCCTAGACAAGACATGGAAGGCTACATGGTGATCTTTGTTTGGGGAGCCACAGCATCCTAACTTCTCAGTCAGGGCATGAGGCAGAGGAAGAAGGCTGAGTCTCTAGAAAGTGGTGGACATTCACCCCAGGAAGGAGAGCCAGGGTACCCCTGACTTGAGGACATATGTGGGTGGTTACACAGGGTGGGAGAAGGGGCCGCTCTATCTCACAGAGCAGAGCTGGAGCAGCCTCTCACTAGAACTTGAGCAAGAAGCCACACATGTGTGACAGAGGAAAAGCCCTGGGAACATGCACCGCAGCAAAGCCATGCACAAGGGCAAGCTTGGTGTCCCTGGAGCCATGAGCAATGGCTCAAGGGGAAACTAAGGCAGAGTATGTCACTTCTTTGTAAGTAAGGGAGGTTCCTGATCCAAATTACATGCCACAGGCCTCCTGTGTCACAGGCTGGTGACTCTCAGAAGGCTTTCTCTTCCTGCAGAGCTGGAAGGCTAAGGCAAGAGCTTTCTTACCCTTCTCCTCTCAGGTCTGAAAGGCAGCCATTCTGAGGAAAGACTGCACCAGTCCAGCACCTGTCTCTGTGTTCTCCACCCTATACCTATGCAGACACTGCTCATCAATCCCTGCTCCCTCTCCCGATCCGCTACTCTTTAAGTGCTCTAGCTAACCATTGGCAGTCAGCCAAGTGACAAACAGAGGGGAAGCCTGCCTGCTTTACGTCTTCTACCTTGGGTTAACCATACACCCGAAATACTCTTGGGACCTTGAGCCAACACATCTGCAGGGTGCACTTTGGGAGGACTAGAGTGGATTGGAGACCACTGTGTGGTCCGTGAGCAGGAGGAACACAGTGCTCCATCCAGTCCTGATTAGGAGCTGTAGTGGTTAGCAGGACCAAATGGAGGGTAAGAGTAGGGAAGACTGTGCTTGCCCTTACCCTGGGTCTCAGGACACAGGACTGTTTGTGCAGTGCAGGAGTCCACAGGCAGTGTGGGAAGTACGGCAGTTTTCAGGGGCCTGAGCAGCTGTAGCTGCCACCCTGTAGCCCATCAATAGATTCCCTTCACCCGCTTGTTGTCAGGGTCAAAGGGAGACTTCAGGTGAATCTGGGCAGGATAGGTGATCCCCATTCTCTCCAAGGCATACTCCCCATTCTTCACAAAGTCCAGAGAGACCTAGAAGCAGAGGGTTGTCAGGGTTACTTAGTTCTTACAGGGGTCTATGGCTACCCACTCCTACCTCACTAATAAACCAACCCCTGTACCAAGGCCTTCTCTGACACAGAGAACTCCCAAGAATAGTAGATCACACACCCTATGCTATGCCAGACAGGAACACCTGAACCCATCAAAGCCTGGGTCCAGTAGCCAACAAGACCTCTTTCCCTTCACAACCTGCTCCCATGACCTTGCCAGCTCCATGGGAAGATGGGTCTGAGGCAGAAGCCTGGGTGGATTTTAGAGCTAGACAAACACATCATTGCTATAGGGCAGGGACCAGTGGCCAGATGTGTTCTCTTGGGAGACAGGGTGAATGGAACAGCTTTCTGGACAGCTTGGCCACTGAGCACCCCGCCCCCTCTCCAACCCACATCTGGCTCCCTCTTCTCAGCAACCCCTCTGGAGCTGTTAGGCTTGGGAGCAGGTGCTCCTCAGGCTGGAAGAGCGCTGTGGCCTGACACTCCACTGTGCTGGAAGGACTCTCCTAGGCCACCCAAGGAGCTGATTCTTTGTGTACAGTGAGGACTCCAGGCCCAAGCTGGGGGGGTCTGGGGCTTGTTCTCTCCCCATTGCAGATGGCCTAGGATTGCATCTGACAAAAAGAAAAGAACAGAAAGGAAAGAAAAAAGGCAAAAGACCCTTTAAAGCCAAAGGATCTTTAGGGGTGAGGCCTCTGGCATACACTTCCCTGTGTGGTGGGGAGGCTGGTAGATCTCAGCAGAGTAAAAGGCGGGTGTTCTGGGACCAGCTCAGTCCAGCTATAAACACCCAAGAGCCACAAAACTCACCCTGGTTCCTTTCTCTTACTTGGAAATATGGATTATCTCAGTCCAGTACTGGTTTATAAGCAGGATGGGGTTGCTTTGCAGCATCTGCCCACTCTGATGGCATGAATATTCTAGAAGCCTGCTCACATCAGCAGGACGTCAGCTTCTCATGTCTTTGATCACCTTCAGTGTGGGCTCCTTGTCTATGTGGGATTTATGCTGGGCCCCTGGGCTCTATTTATCAGAATCCCAATGTTCTTTTAAATAAAAGGCTGTGGATTCTCCCCTGCCCACCAAGTCTGGGCAACTGTAAATGAACTTCTAATCTTGCCTTTTCTGGGACCCAGGCTGTGGCCTCTCAGTAGTAAAGTCCTGTGTAACCACAGAAGGTCCCAGGCTGGTTTGCAATGTTTGATACCTGTCAATCAAGTTCTACCCAGAGTACTGGTCCATACTGGAGGGTGTGAGCCTGTGCCCTTTCTATAGGTAAAGCTGGGGCTCTTAGAGAAAGCCCTGGGCCACAGTCCCAAAGCACAAAGAGTCAAGCCTGTGTCCTGAGCCTCCTGCTCCAGCACAGGACTTCCTCCTCCTTGCAACCACCCCCATTCCCATTCCCACCCCTATTCCCACCCCCACCTCAGCTTCAGAAGTCAGGCTACCCCAGGCCTCAGCACAGTCACTAGTCTTTGCCTCTTCCTAGCCTGGCCCCTCCTCCCTCGATTCAGCTGGATTCTGTGGTCCAACTTGTCTTAGTGTCTGTCAGGCTAGAAGGCAGAGAACCTCTGGGGCTGGAGTTACTCCACAGGAGATCTCAGTGAGACTTGGGCAAAGGTACACATCCCTCTAGGAATGCTTAGGTGTTGTAAGAGAATACAGTACTACTCAATGCATCTCTAATCCATGGCTGGAAAGCAGGAAGTGGGAAAGTCCATCTCCTTTCCCCTGGGAACACAGCTGGAACTCTCCTTGTGGCTGTCCAGGCTGCCCAAGAGTCTACAGCCCAGGTTTCGTTTACTTGCTAGGGTTGAGGTATTTATGGTGATGAAGAAGGGCAGAGATGATCTGCTAGCTTCTGGGACCAGAGAACATTTAGGTCTTGTAACTCTTTTTGCTCAAGAAAATCCCGGGGGCACACCAGTCAGTTTCTTTTAGAGATAAAAGAGAAAACAAGCAAGAAAACTCTGCTGGAGACCAGGACTGGGAACTCGTCTATCCTTCCTGGCTTGCTTCCTCTTGTGTTCCCAGCATGCACAGGCATGGCACTGCGGATCTGGCTGGGAAGGGATTGGGGAACAGGGTTTACTCACTGGCCCACCACTAGGGTCTCGGATGTAGCCATAGGCGATGGTCTTGTTCACAGTAAATCCAAAGTCAGCTCTCCGGACATGGCCCACCACTTGGCCATTTCTCCAGATGGCCTCCAGGCCAAACATAGGCACCTCCCTAGAAGAAGCAAGAAGATGTTTGGAACCACTAGTCTTTGCCTCTTCCTAGCCTGGTCCCTCTTCCCTCCATTCAGCTGAACATTGTGGTCCAGACTGTCTTGGGAACACAACCTAGGGAAATGAGGCAGCTGGACCATGTCTACAAGCCCCACAAGGGTATAGTACCCTACCAGGACCATGCAGTCCCCACATGGGTACAGTACCCTAACAGGTCCTTGTAAGCCCCAATAGCCCAATAACTGACCTGGGATGACAGGGGACAGCATGGGAATGAACAGGGAATGAGTAGAAATCTAACTTTTAGCAAAGATGACTAGAGCCCTGGGGCTTCAGAAAGGACCAATTTTATCCCTGCTTCATTTAACTTCCTTTTTAAAGTCTATATTAATTATAGAAAATAGTAGGGGTAGAGAGATAGCTCGCTAGTTAAAAGCACTTGCTGCTCATGTAAAGGGTCACAGTTCGGTTCTCAGTACACACGCCAGGTATTCATACTCTCCAGGGGAATCTTATGTCCTCTTCTGACCTCTGTGGGGACTCATGCTAATATGGCATACACTCACACAAGCAAACACACACACATAAATAAAATAACATCTAAAAAGAAAAATACTCTATTTCATTGTGAAGTCATCATTCATAGACATATGTACTCTGCTCACAGCTACCCTCTCTCATCCTGTCTACCCATATAGTCCCGCCCCTTCTATTTTCAGGTCATATATGTATGTATGTATGTATGTATGCATGCATGTATGTATGTGTGTATGTATGTATGTAATATATACACACATATGTATCATGTATGTATCTATATACATATATACACACATATGTATGCATGTATGTATCTATATACATATATACACACATATATGTATGTGTGTATGTGTATATATACATATATGTATACACACACACACACACACACATATATATTTGTGTACATATACTAACCAAATGCAGCATGTGAGAGAAAACATGAAGTATTTCTTCCTGAGCCTGGCTCATTTCTCTAGAAGTGACCTCTAGTTCCATCCATTTTCTTGCAGTTAATACAAATTCAGGGCTGGGAAACGGCTCAGTGAATGGGAGCAAGTGTACACACATGGGGACCTGAGCTTAAACTCTAGCAATGGAAAAAGCCAGGTATGACTGCAACGCCAGCCTTAGGAATGGAGATCAGTGGATCCTGAGAGTTCCCTGGCTGAGCAGCCTAGCCAAACTAGTGAGCTTCCAGTTCAGTGAGAGACCCTGTATCAAGGCAGCAAGGTGGAGAGTTAATAGAGGGCACCTGTTGTCCTCTGCTGGCCTCTGAATATACACACAGAGGCACACATCCCGTATGCATGCACGATAAACACACTACACAGAAATAAATAAATAAATAGCTGGGTGTGGCGGCACACACCTTTAGTCCTAGAACTTGGGAGGTCACCCATTGGACTGTGCATGGTGGCACATACCTTTAATCCTGGACCTCAGGAGGCAGAGACAGGCAGACCAGTATGAGTTCAAGGCCAGCCTGGTCTACATAGTAAGTCCCAGACCAGTCCAGACTACAAAATGAAGCCCAGTCTCAAAAAATAAATAAAAATAAATAAAATAAAATTCATCCACTGATGAGCACCTACTCTGGTTCTCTATCTTGGCTGCTAAGAACACTGCTGCAGTAACATGGCTGTCATTTACTTCTGTGGCGTGCCAACTCCAACTCTTCAGTAGACACCAAGAGGGCATAGCTGAGTCACAGGAAAGTGCCTTTGCCACAGTGACTAGGTTGATTTACATTCCCAGCAGTGGTGGCTAAGGGTTGCTCTCTCCCTGCGTCCACACTGCCAATGTCTGTCATTCCTTTCCTAGGTGTCAGCCACTCTGATGGGTGAGATAGACTATCAGCATAGTTCTAATTTGCATTTCTTCATGAGCAAAGACTTTGAGCAATTTTTCATATGTTTATTGGCCATTTGCATTTCTCTTCTTTTTCAGGGTCTGTCTTCACTGGATTATTTGGATTATTTGTGGGTTTGGTGTTTAATTCTGTTGTTGCTGTTTGCAATTTCTGAGAATTCATTGCCTGTCAGAGGAATGGCTGGCAAGGATTCCTCCCGTCCCTCGTGTTCCTCACTCAGGCAATGACTTCCTTTATGCAACCCATTTATCAGTTCTTGTGCTGAGTTCCTGAGCTGCTGGAGTCCCACTCAGAAAGGCCTGGCCCATGCTTACATCCTGAGGCACCGTCCTGCAGTCTTCCTCTGCAAGTCTCAGAGTTTGAGGTGTTATATTAAGAGCTTATCCACTTTGGGATTCTTTTCATGCAGGGGAAGCAGGGGTCTACTTCATACATCTTCGTGTGGATGTCTACTTTTGCTGTTCACTACAGAGGCTGCTTCTGTCTAGTGTGGCTTTGGACCCACCTTTGTTGACAATCAAGTGACTATAAGAGTTGTGTGGTTTGTTTCTGGGTCTTCTGTTCTGTTCTGTGGGTCTACGACTCTGTTTGCACCAGGACCACACTCATTGTATCACTATGGCTCTTCAGTATAGTTTGAGGTCAGGTATGATGACACATCCCTCATTTTAGACAGGATTGCTTTGGTTATTCTAGGTCTTCCGTTTCTATGTAAACTTCAGGATTTTTTTCTAGTTCAATGAAAACTTACATTAGAGTTTTCGATAGAATTTATGCTGAATCTAGTTCATTTAACCAAGTGGGCTTATTTTATAGTGCTCTGGTCATGTACTTGCTGCTGCTGCTGCTGCTGCTGCTGCTGCTGCTGCTGATGATGATGATGATGATGATGATGTTTGAGACAGGGTTTCTCTGTTTAGTCTTAGCTATCTTGGAACTCTCTCTGTAGACCAGGCTGGCCTCGAACTCAGAACTCAGACATCCACCTGCCTCTGCCTCCCAAGTGCTGGGATTAAAGGTGTCCACCACCATCACCCAGTGGTCATCTGCTTTTTATAGTACATCTACCTAAAGGATTTTTCTTTAGTCAGTGTACTATATTAACACTATAGTTTTTGAAAATTCAAAATAATAGACAAGATGAAAAAGAAAGCCTAGAACTGTCAATACCCAGATATGATAACACTTGGTGCCATCTGGAGACTGTTCTCTAGGGCTAAACTATTCGAAAAACTGACAAAGGTCAGAGCAAGTTCAGATGCCTTCTTGAGTCTCTATCTCAGAGCCACACCATGTGAGCTCCACCCAGCAGAAGACAGGGTCAGGATGAAGGTGTGAGGAACATGTCCTCCCCTGTCCTCTCCCATTTTCCATGGGATACAATAGCATGACTGAGGTTCCAGACTCACCCACGGTCCCTCAAAGAAGCAGGTACATGTCATCATGTGCCTGCAGTCAAGAGCTGCAGAGACAAGAAGGGAGCCCCTGAACAGGACGGCTGCCAACCTTCTGCCCTAGATCTAAGCACTGGCTTTCAGAAGCTTCATAGAGGCTCAGGGGACCATGATAGGGACCCCACCCTAAAGGCCCCTACTGCCCAAACTGGGCAGCCATCAAGGGAGAAGGTGAGATCTCAGGAAGAAGTATGATGACAAACTTTAATTCTGCTCATTGCCTCCTATCACACTTGACACTCTGAGCAAAGTGGCACCATTTGTGGCTGCCTGTCAGCTGCAAAACAATGAGCCCAAAGCCACCTCCTTCTCCTGGAGACAGTTGCTAGGAGACTTCCTATGGGTACCATTATGGGCTGCCAACACTATCCAATGTGTAACTCTGGCCCAAGTGGAACCCAGGCCTCCAGCATCCAAACTCTCCTAGTGACATGTTCTCTCCTTTCACCTCTGCCACAAGACTGGGTATGAGTGTCTGTCTCTGGGACATTGTGAGCATCATTTATAAATGGAGGACAGTTCTACCCAGTCAGGATTTAATGGAACAGGCGAGGAAGTAGTTGCAAAGGAAAAGGGCCACCAGCTTGTATGTAGAGTTCACCCTCCCAAGTCACCAGGCCTGGCTTTACTCAGCCCAGAGGAGCCAGTCCAGCTACAGCACCTTTCTCTTCTCAATGGCTTCTTTAGAGAAGGTTAAGTGTTATCTGTCTTTGGGGCCCTGCTGATCACCCCCATTTCTGACCCACTTCTGGCCCACTCTGTCCTTACGGGATCTGGATTTGCATACAAGTCCTGTTCATACCAACACAAGATGTAAATCTCGTAGATCTTATGTTGTAGATGTAGACAGAGCTCCTGGGCCTCACTCTCCCTGTCTGCACTGGGGTACTGCGAAAGGGAGGCCGACCTAAGGGATCTGCCAGTCCCAGAGGCTCTAGAAATGGTAAGTGCCACCCTCACCCAGGGCCAGGATACTCACTCTTCCACAGTGAGGCACACCAGGCGTCGGTGGAGGCCTGTGGCACGCTGCTTCTCCAAGGCCTCGCGACCTAGGAAGGGCACCGAGGTCTTGAGCTTGCAGGTGAAGGCCAATCCTGCCTCCAGGGGACTGTCATCGGGCCTCAGGTCTGCATGCCAGTGTCGATAGCCTGCAGGACAAGGAGGCTACAGGTGAGTGTCCAGCCAAGCTGTGCAACAAGTCTTTAGAAAGATATATGTGGGTGCTGCCCACACCCACACTGCCAAGTTCCCAAATCTCCATCTTCACTATTGCTTAGCAACCTGGACAGCCCAGGGAGACAGGGTGGATCCTGGTCTCTAGAAGGTTCCCTGGATGAGCTCCTGAAGCAGACTAGTCCCACGAGCTTTCCAGTCCCTTGCATTATCGGGGTGGATGTGGGATGGACCTAGAGGGTGGACTGAGCACTCCTAGGGGAAAAGCAGAGCCCACTCTGAACTGCTATCACTGTTTAAAGCATGCAAGGTGGCCACTTGCTAAAGTCATCCTGCTCTGATCTTTACCTCTCAGGAGATACCTAGGTGTCAGTCATGGTAGAACCCCACTTAGCCATATGTGAGGTCCTAGATTCAACCTCCAGAACCAAATGTCTCAAACTCTCAAAAAGATCCCTCAAGGAGCCCACAGTGCTGAATTCAAGCCCACTCCACTAGGCTGCTCCCTTGGGGTTCCAGATAGTGCCTCAGCTCTCTGAATCCAGATGTGTGCACGGATTAGGGATCCCAGCACCATTTCTGAGGCACTGCACTGGAGACACATGCATAGATAGGGAGTGAGGCCTGAGAAAATGCACAAGGCTGGGAAATATAGGGACTTATGATGTGAAAATCTAAACACCAGTGACAGGAGTGTCCCCGGCTTCTTCCTGGTGGCTTGATTGGCTTCCTAGGGCCATCACAACCCTGTGCTCACCTTTCTCAATGCTCAGGGAGTCAATGGCACGGTAGCCTGCATTGACTAGGCCATGCCTCACACCTGCAGCCATTACAGCTCGGTACACTGGCAAGCAGGATGCACTGGGGACATGCAGCTCCCATCCCAGTTCCCCGACAAACGACAGCCGGATGGCACGGACCTGGGAAGAGAAGGGCGTGGATCAGCTACAGCTGCCTCAGGCTGCTGATGCCCAGGCACAGACTGCCACTTGCCAGCAGTCCCTGAGACATGGGGTTTTCTGAGGAGGGTTCACATAAGCTGAGCTGAGAATCTTCAAATGAAAGAGGGAAATTCAATGTAGAGAGAGGGAGACAGTCCCATCTCCTGGCCTCAAGCCTCAGAAGTGACCAGCAGGTTCTCTGTGGTCAAGCAAGTGACCAGAAACTGGGTAGGCTTAAACCAACAGAAATGAGCTCCATGTCTACTCTGGGGGTTCACAGCCTTAGATCAGGGTATGGCTGAGCCATGCCTGGAGGCTCAGGAAACACCTTCTTGGTTTCTTCCAAAGCAAGGGGCTCCAGTAATGCTCCACAGGTACCTGTGTCACTCAGCATCTGCTGCCCTCTTCCCACTGTCAGTCTCTGTGTTGTTTCCAGCTCTTAGCAGGATTCTGACATTGGACTTTGGACCCACATTGACTCTGAAGAACCATATCTTAACAACTGTGACAATTGATATTATCAACATGATAGAATTAAGAATCACCTCGGGGACAAAGTTCTGGGCCTGTTTGAGGGAGTTTCTAGATTGAGTGAACTAGGGTAGGAAGAGTCACCCTGAAGGTGGGTGGTACCATTCCATAGGCTGAGCTCCCAGAATGAATAAAAAGGAGAAAGCGAGCTGGGTGCCCATATCTGTCTGTCTTTCTGTCCCTGACCATGGATGTAATATGACAGCTGACCATCATACCTTTCCCACATAATGGATCTGACCTTCAAATTGTGAGCTCAAATAAACGCTTCTTTTCTTGTTCAAGACAGGGTTTCTCTGTGTAGCCCTGGCCGTCTTGGAACTCACTCTGTAGACCAGGCTGTCCTTGAACTCAGAGCTCCACCTGCCTCTGCCTCCTGAGTTCTGGGGTTAAAGGCGTGCACTACCACTGCCTTTCTTTCCTCAAAAATGTTTTGCCAGGTACTTTGTCACAGCAGCAAGATGGTTGACTATGCACACTCCCTCATTCAGTCCCATCTGCCAGGACCTTACTCCCAATACAGCCACAGCCACAGGTTCTGCCATCGTGAGCCCAGGCTCTAATTTTTAAAAGCCTCAAGCCTCTTCCACCCATGGGAAGCAGGTAGAAAATTGAGATAGTTCATGTCTTGGCTGTGCCAATTCAGGGTGCCAAATCCATCATTCTAGAAGCCACATGAATGAGCAATGTGGTTCCAGAAACTGAGGCTCACAAACACAGGAATGACATCTGCTGTCCCTGGGCTGAGGCCTTCATACACATTCCACTTAACCATAGCCATGCAGGAAGGGCATCGAGGCTCATGTGGGAAGAACTGGGGTCTGGGAAAGCATATCCACACCCACACAGCCAATGTGAAGGATCCCTTTCCCAGAAGATACAATCTTTCCAAATATTTAGCTTAGGTACATGTAACAAGCCCAACCCACCCAACAACTGATGCCCACTTCCCCAGCCTTCAGGTAAGTTGTGGGGTGTGTGAGTGAATGTCCCCAACAGTGCACACCACCCCAAGATCACTGCTCAGCTCATCAAAGGGTATGGGAGGGCCCAAAGCACCTCACAAATAGAGGTGGCCAGGCCAGTGCTGCCACCCCTGTGCTGGTGGGGGAAGGGAGCTACCCTGTTGTCTGACCACAAAGGCAACACCTTATAAACCTGCCAGTCTAATCACATAGACAGAGAGAAATTGGGTTCTAGAGGCCTTTGAAACAGGGCCACTTGCCTGGCCTTGTGAAAAAGAAAAACTCAAACTGATGCAGAAACTGTACTGTTGACATTTCCCTGCCTCTCTGCACAAGCTGTGGGCCCCTGACAAAGACCGCCTTGTCACCAGGGTGCTAATTTTAGACAGCCCCGAAGGAGCTTGGGGCTCAAAGCCAGTGTCATTTTGAAGCAGGGAAAGTCATTTTTAAAGTGCACCCAACCTCCCTGTTCAGACACTCCTCATGCAGCCAAGCACACAGGTGGGGGATGTCCATGGAGGCTTGAGATCTGCTGACCTATGTGGGACATAAGGTGGCCAACTTCTAGGTCTCCACTACAGAACAATGTGGCCCATGGCAGGTACCAAGAAGAAATTCCTGAGAGAAGATGGTAGGTTCTTCTACCTACTGGCACAGTGAGAATTTGGGGATATGTGGGCCTTCCAGGTCCATAGATCATGAGTACCTGGGTGTCTTCCATTTTATCCCTTTGAAGCAATAGAGTTAAGGGCAGGTCTCATTTCCTCCCATAGTGACACACAAAAATGGGACAAGACTGAGAACAAACTCATTTTCTTCATCACTATGAGCCAGGCACCTCCCAGCTACCTCGAAGGCTCCAGCCTTTGTGACCTATCTAAGCAACGTGCTTCAGGCAGGGTTTGTGAGCAGCAGGATTAGAAAGGTCCATGCCTAGCTTATATTCATCTGCCTTCAAACGTTGGCTCAGGCACTTGTACAGCTATGTTCAGTGCTGCTTGAGATACACTTGGAAGGAAATGGAACCAGTCTAGATGCCATCATTGGATGATACATACATGCAGTGGAGTTTTATTTGTCCATAAAGAAAAATGAAAATATGAATGGATAGACCTGGAAACTGCTGTGTTAAGTGAAGGGAACCCAAGCTCAGGCAAACATCAAGGACAAGGATGACATCCCGGTTCAGGTCGCTTTAAAATTAAGATTTTTAAAATTAAAATTAAAATTAGCTTTAAAATTAAGAGAGTGCTGAAGATGCAGCCCAATGATAGGGCACTTAGCATGTCCTAGCATGTCCTAGTATGACCTAACATGACCCAGCATGTCCTAACATGTTCTAGCATGTCCTATCATGACTTAGTATGACCTAGCATGTCCTAGCATGACTTAGCATGATCTAGCATGACCTAGCATGTCCTAGCATGACTTAGCATGATCTAGCATGACCTAGCATGTCCTAGCATGGCATGTCATGCTAAGACACCTAGCATGTGAAAGGTCCTAGAGTTGATTCCACAAAAAATACAAAATAAAGAAGGCTTAAGAGGAAGCAGCGCTTCTTGAAAGATGCTGCTGGCAATGGGTGGAGCTAGAATTCTACAAGGTTGGCAGGAAGGGCCTTGAACCAGGTTTTAATAAAACCTTGTCTCGCTCGAAAGACTCCACAATAAACAGAACCCTCGGTTTCAAGATACAAAGCCAACATACAAAGTCATCTGCTACCAATGAACAACCCATAAATAGAAATTAACCCAGCAATGTGCCATCCCATCTGCCATCCCAGAGATTAGGAGGTGCAGGCAGGAGGATTGAGGAGTTTAAAGTCATCCCTAGTTACATAGGAAGTTTCAGTTCAGCCTGGGCTTGATGGGAGTGTCTCAAAAGTTTGAAAACAAAAGAATGAAATTAAAACAATGTCAGTCATACCAGCACCCAAATATTTAGGAGTAATCACAGCCAAGAGGTGAAAGGATTTTAAGATGACAAACAAAGACACCCCATGTTTAGGGATTATAAACCGTATTACTAAAATGCCCGAGCCGCCCAAAGCAGCAGGAAGCCACACAGCCCTGGCAGAGTCACATTGGTGTTTATTAAATTGAAGAGGTAGAAAAACAACCTCTTAAAGCTCATACAGACTCTCGAATGACCCTGAGAGCCACATCAGATTTGAAAACTGACAACGTTGAGGAATTCATTGGTCATTTCAGAACAGATAGCAACTAAGCCATAGCAGTTAACGCAGTATGGTTAACATACTGCAGAGAGCCAGAGCAATGAAACTCAGCAGAGCATCTGGAAGTTAATTCCCATGTAGGCAACTCGGTGAGCTTCATGGGTACCCACACTTGGGGATACACACAATTAAAAACACAAGTCCTGCCTGGCAGTAGTGGCGGATCAGGAGATAAAAGCAGGTGGATCTCTATAGTTTGAGGCTAGCCTGTTCTATAGATCGAGTTTCAGGGCAGCCAGAGATACATACAGAAATCCTGTCTCAAAAACAAAACAAAATGTTTGTCTCAAAAAAATATAAATTAAAAAAAATCTTTCAAACACAGCAGTGGTGGTGTATGCCTTTAATCAGAACAGTGGAGAAGCAGAAACAAGTTGATCTCTGAGTTCCAGGCAAGCCTGGTCTACAGACAAGAGTTCCAGGACAACCAGGGCTACACAGAGAAACCCTATCTGGAAAAAAAACAAAACAAAACAAAATCTTTTTTTTTTTCCTTTTTTTAGGCAAGCAGGGTGGAGATGGTGACTCTTCGGATAAAGGTGCCCTGAGTTCTACCCCTAGGACCAACATGGTGGAAGAACAGAACTGACTCCTCCAAGTTGTCCTCTGGCTCCCACAGACATGCCATAACACATGTGTCCTCACACACACAAAATAGTAATAATAAATGTAATTTAGATTTTACAAAAAGCCAGACAAACAGAAGCTGGCGAGGAGGTAGAGAAATCAGAAGCTTTGCATTTGCTGGCAGGGCCTCTTGAAATTTTAAAATAAACCTAGGTGGTGTGGCCCAGTTTGTGTGTAGACACTACCCCAACCCAGCCCTCAGCATGGGAGGCAGAGTTCACAGAGGGGTTTTTGCACTGCTGTCACACACAGCAGCCCAAGAGTTCATTCACACAACAGAACAGCAGTCACCTGTATGGCAGGAAGGATGTCCTGACACCTGCTGGGATAAGGACAGCGCCCTGGCTGTGCTGAGTCAGGACAGTCACATAGGGGCTATGCTGCAGGGTCCACAGGGTGTTCGTTGCTCTCCAGAACCAGGCTTGAGAAGTGTTTTGTCTGATGGGTTTGAGTTTCAGCTCAACAATCTCACAACAGGGTGCTTGTACTCACATTACTGGATAGAAGGCTTAAAATGGTTGAAGCTGGGAGTAAATCCAGTTCTCAGGAGACTGAGGAACAACCTTGCCTTTATAGATGGATCTCACATCCCCCCATTCCCAAAAAATGTTAAGATG